TATAACGACATGCAAAGGCTGACCGGAAAAGATATTCCATTACACATGGGAAAGTTAGGTGGTGGGCTTGCTGTCAGACAAGTCGGTCCAGAGTCTACTGGAGATACTCTCTCTCCCTCTCCCTCTGCCCCTCCCCTTGCTCATGCACATGTGCTCTCTAAATCAATCAATCGATCAATCAATCAATAAAATCTTTCTTTAAAAACATAGGATGCCTGGTCATTTAAGCCTCCGGTTCTTTGTTTCACCTCAAGTCATGATCTCAAGGTTGTGAGGTCAGGCACCCCCCTTAGCCCAGTCTGCTTGTCCCCTTTACCTCCCTTGTGCTCACGCGTGTGCGCGCTCTCTTTCTCTCTCTTATAAATACATAAACTCTTTCAAAAATAAACTAAAAATAATTTTTCGTAGCTTCCAAAGGAGTAAAATACCTAGGAATAAATTTGAACAAAGACGTGAAAGACTTCCATCCGGACAACTGCAGAATGTTGCTGAAGGAAAATACAGGAAGGGCTGAGACATGGAAAGACCCTGTGTTCATGGGCTGGAGGGTTCAACACTGTTAGGGTGGCAGTAGCACCCAAAGTGATGTGCAGATCCAATGCCATCTCTCTCAAAGTCACAGCAATGTCTTTTGCAGAAATAGAAAACTCTATCCTAAAATTCCTGCGGAATCTCAAGAGAGTCCAAGTAGCCAGTGGGACACAGTAGGGAGCCCAGAAATATATTGTTACGTATAGGGTCACATGGTGTCTGTGTGGGCACATGATCTACTTGCTACAAACTGAAAGTTTGTGTCCCCCACGAAACATGTCTGGTGAAACCTCACTTCCGCTGCGATGGCGTTACCAACTGGGACCTTTGGGAAGCGACTCAGTCAACCCCATTCATGCCTTGTCCAGAGAGCACACTTGCTCCTTCTGCCGCATGCGAGGACACGGCAAAATCTGGTCATCTTTGAACCAGGAAGCTGGCCCTGACCAGACAACACACCTGCCAACACCTTGATCCTGGACTCCCAGGCTCCAGGACAGTGAGAAAGAAATTTCTGTGTTTTTAAAGTTACCCCATCTATGGTATTTTTGTTACAGCAGCTTGAACGGCCTGAGTCACCCAGTTAGTGTTCCCGGGCTCGTGTCAAGATGCCGAGAACAAAAAATCCTCCTGCTACTCGCTTCCTATGTCAGGAGGATTTGCACCTTGACCCGGCCTGTCTGCACAGCGAAGCCAAGTGGGACAAGGGAGAGAAACAGAATGCCAGTGACAGCTTAGAGGCCCCTACTTGGACCAGGTCTGAAGCTTCTCTCCTCCAGGCTTCCCAGCAACCGGAGACAAATTCATCTTACAACCCAGAGGGCCATGACCCATCCATGCACCGTCCCGTCCTCCACGTTCACTCATCCCGGGGCCCGCCCTCCCTGTTCCTTGCTCCTCTCACAGGCTACCCTGGCTGACATCCTGCTACCTCTCACTGGCCAGGGTAGCCACCACCCTGCTCTCCAGCTCCCGCCCCTGACCAAGCCTACGCAGCATCTGTCCTCTGAGACCCCGAAGTAGTTGGCGCTCACCGCTCATCTGCCTACACTGGGACTGTCGGGGTGTCTGTGCTCAGCAGTCTTGGACAGGGGTAAAGACCACAGGCTGTGGGGGAGGAACGATGCGGGGTCTCAAGCTCTATGAGACCCAGACCAGCCATCTGATGCCTGATTTTGTTCGTCTGTGGAGGAGGTAGTAACAGCACGTACCTGCAGCAGACGCGTACCGGCAGGCGGCTTATGGTCACTCCGGCCCGCGTCTCTTGTTGCCTCCCACAGCAGAGACATCCACTTTCCCAGCATGCCCTGTAACCGGGGGCAATCACTGGCTCCCTTATTGCCAGCGACAGATAAAAAGATTATCTGCTGGGGGTGAGATGCTTATGAAAACGTGTTCCCCTTGAAAGGAAGCACACGTGAAGCCACTTGTCCCTGCTCGGGTATGGAAATGTGCTCGTGAGGCTGAGGCAGCCACCCCTGTGCCATGACCCTGTACAGTGACCAGCACCGGGATGAAACACGGGTACACAGCGGCTCTGACACGAGAGCACCTGGTTCTTGAAGGGGTCGCTGAGCCTCTGCTGAGCCTCTGCTCTGGCCGTGGGACTTGTCTCCTTCGCGTTTCTCTGGGGGAGAGTTCATCCTCTCCATCGCCGAGAGTCACCAGGCATCTTGTGACCTGAGGCCCAGAGGATCTCGTTGGGTCAGGGTTCGATGCCATGATGCATGCAGAGTGCTGGTTGAAGACGGTCACGTTGTCCCAGTCAGCTGCTCAAGGCCATGGCACGGCATCTGCGTCCCACGGCGGGGACTGACGGTGCCAGCAGCAGACACTGAGCACCCTGCCACCTGATGCAGCCACTGCTGGTGGGGCTGTAGCTGTACTCTGGAGTTGGAGTGGTTGCAGCCGGCCGGCAGGCAAGGAGCAGAGCCAAGCGGCCCAGCCGCACCACCCCGGCCTCAAGGCTTCTCCCAGCCATGCCCTGTGGGATCTGGACGGAAGAGAAGCCGGGATTGGGGGTGCCAGAGCTACACAGCCCTCCCACACTCTCCACGATGAGTCCACGCAGAACCTCCAGGAAGGGGGCCCCTGCCAGTGACCATTGGCCTTGGACCCTCTGCTTCCAGAACTTTCTGTCATGAAGCTCGTTCCCGGGCCCCTGCACACCTTTAGACCACAGCTCACATTGAGCTTCTCTCCACGGTGGCTGGCCCTTGGGATTCTCATTGCTGCTCGACCCAGGGAGGGACGATTCCAGGATCTTCGTGTCCAGGATGGGGCAGGCTCTGCTCACACAGCAAGGACACTGGCCACACCTGTGTGCCGGAGGGGGCCTCCCAGGTGCCCCACATGGCCACACCCTTCAACTTCTGTGGCCTCAGATCTGCAGAAGTATCTAACCCCCAGGTGGGGCTCCAGTCCCAACGATGGGCTTGGTATTTTAATTAGAGCAAAACTGGGGGGGGGGTGTGTGTCTAACAACGGTCTGTGTGAAGAGTTTCTCACAGCACAGGAGATGCTGTTACCATGCACTGTCGTACGTTTGTGATGCGCTTGCAACCATTAGATATACACGGGGAAAATAATGACACGAAACACACACGAAAAACACACCAACACTGACCTCTGGGGGTTGATGTTGGGATTGTTACTTTCTTTCTGAACCCTCCAGGTTTTGCAATACACGGGTATTATTTTGCAGTTTGAAAATTGGAATTTTTAGTTAAGTACGGCCTCAGGTGCCTGGCAAGTACAAGCTGCATCTGTGCCGGACCCTGCCCCCCGCCCCCGCCGTGGGCTCCCAGAAGGCTGGACGGTGGCCCCTTCCTACTGCCCAGGGCGCGCGGGGCAGGAACCCCGGTAACGAGGCCTTCGCTCTTGGGGACATACATACATTCATGGTACGGTTTCCAACTCCAGATGGATGACAACACTGTTTTCTAGACCTCGACTCTGAGGCAAACTAATATAAAATAAACGCAAGAGGCAACCTTTGGTAAGATTTTAAACTCTTAAGTTGTAAGGAAAGAAAAGATAACACAGAATTCAAGAAATTCAACTGTGTAAAACGTAAGCTTCTACAGAAAGGAAAGGAACATGACTACAAAACAAGTAAATGCACAACACAGGCAAACTTTTGCTAATGGTGAGGACAAAAAAATTATTGTTTTGTTAAATTTTTTTTTAAAAACCTCACAACACGAAAAAGGCCAAAACAAGGCCACAGTCCATAAAAGGAACAAAAATACATACAGAAGCTTTACGGAAAAGAAACACATCAAAATGCAAATTAAAACAACAGTATCCGCAGTCTATATACTAATTTAGAATGAGACTCCTTGGTGGAGAGCCGCAAGCCAAGGAGCCCTGGTGACGCCGTCACATCGTCGCTGCTGGCAGCGGGTCTCTGGGCAGCAGAGTGGTCCACACTGCCGAGAAGCCGGAGAGACGTTAGTGATCTTTCATCCTTAACCCTAATGCCAGAAATGTTTTCTAAAACAATAATTTAAAGGAAAAAGAGATGGTATCAGGGAAACATTGCCTGCATTTAATGTTTAGGGTAGAAAGAGCTAGAAGCACGGTTGATCCCCAACCTCGGAGGACAGGCAAGCCCCAGCAGGACCGCAACGGTGAGGGCGGGTCGCGGGGCCGTGTGCGTCGTGACCGCGGGTTAGAGGAGTGTGTCGTGCATGCACAAGGGAAAGGGAAGCCATAGAGCTTGAGATGGAATAGAATGAGGCTGCTTTTTTTCATCTCCTCTATTATAATAATAACGTTTGTGCAAGAAGAGTGCTGGGGTGGGGAGAAGCAAGCTGTGTGGTGACTGAGTTGGTGCGGGAGAAGGCGGTCCCAGGTTGGGACCTGCAGGTGCGGCTCCCGACACATCAGGGGTCCCACGCCTTGTTCCCCAGACTGCTGGACATCCTCACACCCCTGTCAGACGCTGCCTGTGTCTGCCTTAGCCTTAGTCCTGCAGCCTGAACCTTTTCCACAGCCGGTTCTTTTCAGAGGTGCGCTTCACAGCCGACCCACACGATCCCCAGCCGAGCTGCGAAGTTCCTGGATCCCGTCACACTAGGTGAAGGACCCCATCGCATTGGGCGGGAGCCTATAGCCAATATTGTTGGTGTCCACACGGGTCCCACCATCCTCTCGTGGTGCCCCCCGACCCTGTGATTCCAGAAGTAGCCCTCCTCCTGGGGGCCCGCCTGTGGGTGCCTGGGAAAGCTGGAAGGGCCGTGGAGGTTAGACTGAGGCTGGTGTGGAGATAGTGCGAGGCCCAGCCCCTCCCCTGGGTGGGGACAGTTCCCAGGAGAGACTCTCACCAGAGCCCCCAGCTGCCTGTGCTGGGACCTCCTGGACGGTCCCCCCATGGCTTTCTCTCTCCTGTCCCGCAGCCCACGTCCCCCCTGCCTCCCACAGGGAGCTCCCACAGAGGTCTAACCTCCTTCCCTCTCTCGTCCCAGGCCAGGTACACAGGCCTCATCTTCGTGCACGAAGGCTGGCCGCTGTGTGTCCGTGAGAAGGTGGTGGTGCAGCTCGCATCCCTCCGTGGAGTCAGGCTCAGGCCCGGGGACTTCTACCTGCAGGTCACGTCAGGGCGGAAGCGGTCAGCCAGACTGGTTTTAAAATGCCTCTCCCAGCTTGGACGGGGCTCAGAGGAATTCACTGTCCCAGAGGCCATGTACGGCTGCGTCTTCACGGGAGCGTTCCTGGAATGGCTGAACGGGGAGCGGACCACTGTCCCCTTACAAAACTGCTTGCTGACCTCAGGCTCCGCCGTCTTCCGCACCCCATGGAGCAGTGTCACAGACCCCATCTTTGTACCTACATTCGGAACTGCCCTGCCCCACTGCAGCTGTCCCGGGCCTGAGTGGCCGCCCCCACGAAGCACCTCCACGGCTCTGGCCCCGGTGTCAGCAGTGGCCAACACCCGTCCCCGGGAGGCCACCCCTTCCAGTAGCACTGCAGCCCTGCCCCACTGGCAAAGGCATCCTGGCGGTGACCAGCCCAGCCTCCAACCTTCTCCAGGAAGAGCTGGGTGGGAAGGCCCTCGGAGCCCGTTTGGGAGCTCCAACGGAGGCCTTGTAGGGGTTGGGCCCTCAGAGCTGGGCCCACGGGAAGGACCAAGCGGGAGCCTGGATGCCACAGACAAAAGGGACAGCCCCAAGTCCCTCACTGTCTGTGAGGACATGGGAAGCCCAAGCTCCAGAAGGCAGTTGCCCAGGGACCCAGCCAGCGTGGAGAGCAAACGTTGGTTCAGGACGTCCTACATGGAGGCGCTGCGGAACCCCATGCCCCTGGGCTCCAGTTCTGAAGAGTCCCTTGGAGACGAGGCCTGCAGCTCCCAGACCATGGGGGCCAGAACAGCAGCCAGCCCAGCCCCAAAGGAAACGCCCAGCCCATGGGGAGACTCCATGGGGATCCCAAGTCGGGAAAAATGTCCAGGAGCCACAAGGAGCACCCTTCCCAGGAGGTCTCGGTCCTGGGACAGGTCCCTCAGGAGCCGGCAAGGCGACACCCGGCGGGCCTCCCACCACTCAGTCGGCTGCAGGCTGGGAGGTCTCTCAGGAGGACAAGCTGAGGGGACCAGAAGCGCACGCTCCGGCCGCTCACCCCACACCGGGGCCCAGAGTCCAGGTAATGTCCGGCCCCCGGCCCTTCCCACTCCTCCCCACCCCTGCCCCTGCACCCCTCCCCCATGGTGTCCCCTCCTGCCTTTTTCCTTGCCACACTGTACCTCTCCTCCAGTCAGTCGACCTGGGAGAAACCTGTGTCCCCATCCACATCGACTGTTGGAAAGGGCATTCGCACGTGCTCCGTGTCTGCAGCTGCCACAGCAAATTCCACAGACCGGGTGACTTCAGACACCTTTCCCGTTGGTTCTGGGGCCAGCAGTATGAAATCAAGGCCCTGGCAGGGCTGTTCTCCCTTCAGAGGCTCTAGGGAAGGGTCCTTCCAGCCGCAGGTCTCCCCCCAACCAAACGTCTTCGGCCCACGTCTCTGTCCATCGAGCCTTCCCCTCCTTTCTCTCACAAGGACACCCAGCTTTGGATTCAGCATCCGCCATCACTTCATCATGCACACCTGCAAAGACCCTTTTCCAAGTAAGGTGATGCTCACAGGTTCTGGGCATACCCGGCCTTTTGGGGTCACTGCTCCCCCTGCCACGTTGCATGGCCGCTCCTTTTCTCTGGGTACGTTGGATGCTTGTGGTCACCAACACCGGCTCCGAATTGCACAGACCCCGGCGGCCCGCACAGCCTGCTGGACAGTCCCCTTCCTGCTGGAGGTGTCTCCCATGTCGCTCTGGAGGGAGAACACAGTTGTTTCCAGAAGTGTGGCATCCAGAACGGAAAGGGAGGACCGACCACCTATTTCCTAGGTCAGATATTTCCCATTTTTGACCACAGCAATGTTCTGTGAAGAACGAAAGCAGGGACTTCGGAGGCGGTAAAGAACAGGCCTCCGAGGGTGGGTGAGCCTTGCACCCGGCACGGGGCGGGAGGTGGGCGGCGTCTGGCCTGCCCGCCCGGGCCAGCGGGGCACTCGAACTTGCTCACAGCCCTGGAGGGGCCTGCTGCTCCCGACAGGAGGGTGCCGGCCCCCGCCTGAAGTTCTGACGGGATCCGTATGGCGTAGAGCACACAGAAACTCACCACAGAGGGTTGTGGTGAAGCTGTTGGCTTGGGGTTAGCACTTTCTAAGAACATTCACGCCCCACAGTTGAAGCTGCAGTGATGACTGCCTGAACATTGTTTCAAGGCCGGAGCTTTCCTGTTTGTATTGGGGAGAAAACGCCAGTTGACACGTGAGTTTTCCACTCACGTCTGCAGCTAGTGTCAGCGAGGAGACAGCCTGTGTCTTCACCGTGAGCCTCACTCGGAAACGGAGTTGAGTACGAGCCTCTGTAGGGAGAAGCGCCCGCCGTTCAGGCACTGTCCGTGGACATGCAGGCACTGTCCGTGGACATGCAGGCTCCATGTCCCCGGACAGGGCAGCAGCACGGGACACGCGGTCAGATGGCGCCCAAGGTACCTGGCGTCAGGAGGCGGTGGGTTTCGCTCGTACAAACTGGTGCCACCGTGGGGAAGCCAGGTTTGGCCTGCTGGCTCCCTGTGTGTCATGGAGTGCCCCTGCAGGTGCCAGTCTTGTCGTCTGAGACGTGGCATTCTCAAGTAGTCATTTCTCTGGGGGCCTGATGGGCTGTGCCTCAGCTCCAGAGCTCCGCATGAGTGAGCCCTGCGGGCTGGTGGGAGCGACGTCTTATCTCCCTCCCCCTGCGTGGGGACTGCTCCTCCTGGGAGCTTCCATTCTTCCCCCACCGGCCCCTCCTGGCCCCTCCTGCAGATTTCCCGGAGCCATGGAAGAAGGGGGATCCTGTGGATAAGAGGACAGTGCTTCCACCCCTGAGTAGCTGGGCGGCAGTCCCAGAGGCCTGGGCAGATGGGTCACCCAGTGGGTAGCCAGGGGCTTGTGGATACAGACCTTCCCCTCCATCCTTGCTGCCCGGACACACGCTTGTCCCTGGAGTGCAGTCTGTGGCCTGGCCCTAGAACTCCTGTCTTCATCAACATAGGAAAATGCCTGAGCTGGAGCATCCTGCCGAAGCCACGGCTGAGCAGGCAACCATTAGTATCCTCAATCCTCCGCAGCACAGACGTTGTTCCCCTGTTCCTGCTGCCGCTGCTGCTCCCCTGGTTCTCCCCTGTTCCTGCTGCTTCTTTCCTGCTCCGACTCGCTTCCCGCTCTTCCGATTTGCTCCAGCTCCTGAGGCTTTGCTTTGTCTCTTCTTTGACATAAAATCGATGTAATTTCAAAACACTAAATGTGACATTTCAGTTTATTTCAAGAATATCATCTTCATTCATCCAGTGGCGACTGCACAGCTGTTTCTCGATGAGCCACAGGAGGGCACTGCTGTTCTTCCCGGCCACGTTAAATATATCAAGCTGTAGCCCGAGGGACCTCAGAGCGCTCCTGTCCTCTCCCAGGGTCTGTGAGCTGAATTCAGGAAGAGCCCCATGAATCACCTCCCCAGCTAGGAAGCTGTCTAGTAAGAAAAGTTCACATGAATGTGTTGTTTGCTCCTTCATCCAAGTGAGGAAGCTTGAGGTCGGTGCAGAATTAAAACTGTAGAACACTTGGGCACCTCAAAATTTTACCAGTGGTGCTGATGTATTCTAGAAACTATGTGAGCATACATGAAAATATCCATTCTGAAGGATACTGTGCAGCATAACCAATCAGCTGGTGAAGGGACAGACAAAATGTGGTCCCCCACACCGTGGGGTGAGACCCACGAAAGGAATGACACTCACCCCGGAGACATCAGGGGTGAACCTCAAAGACGGTTGTGCTGAGAGAAAGAAATCAGACACGAGAGACGCCCGTACTGTCTGCTTCCGTTTGTATGAATGGTCCAGGACAGAACGAGCACAGGTGATCGCCAGGGTGGGCGGGGTCCTTCTGGATGGATAGAAATGTTCTAAAACTGACCTGCGGTAGTAGTTGCACCACTTGGTAAAGTTGCTAAAATCCTCTTAATTATATACTTGAAACGAGTGAGTTTAAGTATACGTAAAATATACGTAATAAAGTTGTTTTACTTTATTTTTAAAATTATTTTTGGGGGGCACCTGGGTGGCTCAGTTGGTTAAGCAACTGCCTTTGGCTCAGGTCATAATCCTGGAGTCCCAGGATCAAGTCCCACATCGGGCTCCCTGTTCATCGGGAAGTCTGCTTCTCCCTCTGACCTCTCCACTCTCATGCTCTCTCTCCCTCTCATTCTCTCTCTCTCAAATAAACAAATAAAATCTTTTTTAAAATTATTTTTTTAAAGCAGGCTCCACGCCGAGTGTGGGGCCCAAGGTGGGACTTGAACTCATGACCCTGAGATCAAGACCTGAGTTGAGATCAAGAGTCAGATTCTTAACTGACGGAGCCACCCAGATACCCCAAAGTTGTTTTTAAAATAGATATATAGATATAGATAGATTATATCTATATACAGAATGCTGGGGGCTTTTCTGGCTTTTCCAGCTAGAATGAGAAAGCTCTTAACAGAGTTGAAAGACCTTAGGACTATAAGTTCAGGAAGAGGCTGAGGGGCAGGAAAGCAAAGCTGGATGGGTTCAGGGTACCCACAGGGTCTCAGGCGCCCGCCAGTTCTGGGCAAGACCATCTCTCCCCTCACTAGGGTGACACAGGCCCTGGGCGCTGCAAGGCTGGGGTTGAGTCCGCTCGTTCTTTGTGCCATGTGGCTCATCCCCCGTGAGGTGCAGCGTGGAAACACGGCTGAGCGGCAAGACCACAAGCCTGGGCCTCTGCTGTCTCCTCCAAGCTGGTGCACAAACATGAGCCCTCCTCTTCAGGGTAGCGCAGGAGATCCAGGTCCCCCCACCCTGGGTGAGGGCAACACAACCCCAACTGCGGCCTGCCCTCAGGGTGGTCTCAGCCCCTATGGATATATTTTGTGACACTCTGGGTAATCTGTGTGAGAAAATAAATTAGGATGACATTATTCAGTATAAAATTTTCTCCCTGAAGTGTGTTTACGTAGTGAGCAGTCTTGGTGCCGCTGGAATGTTCCATTTTTATGTGTTCGTTCTTGCCTGACTGCCTAGGAATGTGCCTGTCCTACAGGTGTGACACTGGTGTTTTCCACCAGAGATGGGACAAGTTCTCATGGGACCCAGTATTTTCACACACGATTTCCTCCTTGTGTTTGTGGCAAGCTGAGTAGCTGCCTTCAAACCAGAGAAACCCTTCGTCTTTGACTAGGTCTCGCTGGTGCCGACGCAGACAGCAGCCCCTACCGTGGGCCCGATCCTGGCTGGGTTCCAGATGTGCCTGAGCCGCTGTGCCCCGAGGGAGGAGGACAGCCACCCAGCACGGGAGACGTGTCCAACCAGATGCCCAGGCAGGTGCTGGAGGTCAGCCGGGAGCTCCTGCAGTCGGGGATCCTCGCCCTCCCCGGTGAGCACGGCCACCCTACGCTGGCGGGAGTGACAAGGGGCCTGAGGCACCTACTAGACAGCAGACGTGTGTTTCTCCAGTTCAGGAAACTGGACGTCCAAGATCAAGGGGACAGCACAGTCGGGTTCTAGCAAGGGCTCCTCCTCCTGGTTCACATTTGACACCTTTTTACTGTGTCCTCACATGGTGGAAGGAGTGAGGGGGGCCTTCTGGGGTCTTTTCTTAAGAGGCATGGGTCCCGTTCACGGGGCTCCAACCTCGTAACATAAGCACCTCCCAAGGGCCCAGCTCCTCGTATGACTACACTGCGGGGTAGGGTTCAACGTAAGGATTTGGGGGAAACACAAATATTCAGGCCATAGCAATGCACAGTCGCCCTTTGAGGAGAACACAGCTCTCACCTGCCCAGGTGAGTGCCAGGCCCTCTCTCCTGGCAGATCTCACATCTAAGACCATACCTCAGCAGTCTGCAGACCCTAGCTCAGTACTTCTGAAGCTTGAAGCCATGCACATCCCCATGGGGGCTTGCCCCTTCATGATGCCCTCTGTTTCTGCAGGGACCCGAGACCACCAAGGAAGGGCCGTGGTGCAGGTCTGCACGAGGGGCCCGCTCTGGTCCAGCAGACACGTCTCCAGCGCCGAGCTGACCCGCCTGCTGCTGTACTTCCATGGCATCCCCAGGTGGGACTGAGCCAGATTCCCACCTTTCAGACTTTTGGGGGTAACTCTGTGCGAGCTCATGTCCTCACACGAGGGTCTCTGTCTGCAACCTTAGGGGTCCCCCGTGGCACAGTCAGCAGGCTCCCACCTGCTTCTCAGGCTCCTGCCGTGTTTTCCAGGGCCATCGGCTGCCCTGCATGCCTTCCTCTCCCCTGCTCACCTTGACCTCTCCCCACTGAATCGAGGTCACACACACTCAAGCCTTGAGGTTCGTGTTGCTCTGCATTGGTTAGCACTTTCTGTAAGCATTACGTTTGCACACCTTTTACGCTCTGCCTCGCTCTGGATAAAGACCTAACTGATACAAACAGAATATTTAGAATAAGTGGGTCAAGAAATCACACAAGTGATAGTACCTGGTTCCCAGAAGCGGCAAAGACTGATTGATGCTAAGTGACTCTTACATTTAGCTAGGCGATGCCGCGGGCGAGGAAGAGCGCATGCCAGCCCCTTAAGAGGGGCCTGTCCTCCCTGACGTGGGATTCTAGGAAGCCATACCATCTGGCTCGTGCCTGACAACGTGTGGAACAGGTGTGCACCAGAGCACGGCCTCAGATCCCCTCGTGGGCCGAGGACAGAGAAAGGAGAGCAAGAGTTGAGGGCGGCTGAAGTGAGTTCTTTCATACTACTTATGCCACCTGATGCAGGTGTGCTTGGGACGGCCCTCGTGGCCACCAGACCAAGAGTCCCCAAGGTGCTGGATGGAGACAGCCCTTAGCGGAGGGAGCATTGCCAGCTGCTGAGCTTGGTTCCAGAGTCACACAGCCTGGCTCCAGATCCCAGCTGTACCCTTCCTGGCGGGTAGCTGGTGCTCCCCCGTCAGCCCGCGTCCTCCCCAGAACCAGAGATGGTAGCAGCTGTCCCAAAGCTGTGTCAGAGGGATCGGAGATAGTCTGCATAAAGCCCAAAGACTGGCACCAGAGTGCCATCCTCATGGTGCAGCCCATGGGGCCCTCTCAGCGACACAAAGAGCTCACGTGGGAATACGTTTGTGATGCCTCATCGCACGTGACCTCATGCTACCTACGGCACATGAACTTGCTGCTGGGATTTCTTCCGAAATAGCGTAGGCGGATTCCATGTGGGAACAATTAGGGAGGAAAAGAAAGTGTGCTCCCTGACACCCCTCTCCCAGAGCAAGGTTCCCAGTTATCTGAGGGCCCTCGTTTCACTGCCTTGGGTGAGCCTGGGGTTTCAAACTTACCTTTCAGCACAGACTTCAAAATATAAAGAAATACCCTGAAAAAAAATACAGATTCATCCTTGCCTCAGCTTTTAAGCCTCAAGTAAACGCCAAAGTTCTAAGATAATGGCGTTTTCTGTTTACCAACGGCTTCCTTTCGCGGGAGGCTCTAGAATGACCTCAGGGCAGACGTGCAGATCAGCCCTGATGGACAGGACAGCAGCTTTGTGTAGTTTGTAGAGTTTACACCCTTCTGCCTGCTCCGCCTGGCCAGCCTGCCGGGCTGAGTGCTGTCCTCTGCACCCCACAGCCAAGCACCAGTAGTGGAGTGGATCTGTGGTGTTGGAGACCAAGACTTGACCCGGATCTGGAGCCCTCTGCCTTTCCCACAGGAAATTCAGCCCGCCGCCCACCCCGCCCAGAGCAGGAGTCTGGCCAGCCCTCAGGCACTTGGGTACCTCACAGAGGAGCCTCCTGGTCAGCTGCTTATTTCCCCCCAAAACACGGGGGTTTTGTTAGCGCCCTGATTGACCGTGGCGCCTCATGGGATGGGACACCTGCCTTCAGCTGCCAGAACGAAGTCCCCCAGGAGTCGGCATTAATTATGAGGGAGCGTGCCCAGCCACGTCTGGTCGCCGGTGACGCCCGCTGCGTCACAGGGAGCCGTGTGCTCCTGGGAGCCTGCCTGGTACACGGGCTGCCATCAAACTCTCAGATACTCGGAATCTTAAAGTCAGAGTGGGTCTTGGCTGTTATCCATCCGTCCACCCAGCACTTACAGGAGGGTACAGCAAAGAACAGGCTGTGGCTCCTGCCCTCCAGGGGACACACATGGGAACCCAAGTTGCTGGATCTCCCAGCATAAGACAAGCCCACAATGCTGGGAGGGGCTGCAGCCTCGGCCAGGGGTGGGGCCTCCCAGGTGTGCTCTGTGTCCTGGGGGACACGCGTGATTGCAGACAAGACAGGAAGAACATTCTGCGCAGGAGGAGGAGCACACCCAGAGCCGCAGCCGATCACTTCCCGAGGCAAGACGCAAGAGGGAGGGGCCAAGCAGGTGGGGGGCTCCGGGCTTGAAGGCCACGCAGACCTCCGGTGGTGAAGCCAAGGTGACCCAGGGACACGGCGTGGGACTCCTGCAGATATGTGGGCCCGGACAGTCTAGGGCAGATATGACCGTGGCTGGGGGCCCCAGTGGAGCCCGGGGAGGCCAGCCAGCTCCATCCCCCACAGGCGACAGGTGGAGAGAAGCAAATTTGGTCTGGGGGGGTCATGCTGGGGCATCTCCTCCCGTCTCATCCTATGCTAGCTGAACTCTAGGTCCTGGGCTCCCCCTCCACCTGCCCAGGGGGTTCCACTGTCTCTGAACTTGGGAAGCAGCCCTCATGGAGGGGAGGGCTCGTTCACTCTGCGGCCGTCCCCTTCAGCAAAGCTACCAAGTGGATGGGGCCGGTGGAAGAGGACGTGCGGGTCTGGAGCCACCGGGGGTAACGTCCCAAGCTGAACCAGCCAGGGTGGCCGTGAGACCATGAGGGAGCAGTGGAAGGAGAGACCAGGACTGGGAGTTAGAAGAGGGAGGTCATGGGAGAGGGGGGCGAGGAGGGACACAGGACCCTCGGAGGAAGTCGCAAATCGTGCCCAGCTCCTGACAGCACCGCCCAGGCCTGCTCCCGGCCACGCGGGTCACAGAGCGGCCTCCGTGGCAGGGAGGCGTGGGCGCACAGCTGGCCAGCTGAGGGAGGGGGGAGTGGGGACTTTTCCCAGCCTCCCCTTTTCCGCGTCTGGCTTTGATATCAGAACAGTGGCCTCCTCGCTGTCCTTACGACACTAGCTTCCCCGAGACGAACTCCCCTTCTGGGGCAGCCCTGAATGGTCACCCCCGACACTGAACACTCCTGGACCGGGGGGCACACCCACCCTTCTGGTCAGGATAGGGCTTTGGTCTGGCCTGCGGCTCCGTTCGCTTTGTGCGAGCGGGCCAGAGCACGTGTGCCTGTCTGTTCAAGCCCAGCTCCCACGCACACGGCCGAGGCGGCACACCAGTCCCCCCGGGAAGGTGGGACTGGACACGCCACCTCGCTCCAGCCGATCGCCGTGCCACGGTTAGAATGGAAGCTTACGGTCGTGATCACAGTGGGGACAGAACTGGTATGTGGAGGTGTCACAAGAACTTGGCAGTTTTCTCCTCTTTAGAGGATGTTCTGCTCTCCCACGCCAGCTCCGGACATGTGGGGAGCTGAATGACGGGTCTGGGGCCGCAGTCCTGAGACCCACAGCCACGTGTGGTTCTGGCACTCCATCAGATTAGGGTCCCTGTGGTGCTCCAGCCCAAACAAGCAGCCCAGCCCAGGACAGCTCCAGGGCCGCCGCTCGCGATGGGGCCGCGAGGGAGGGACAGCAGCCAGCTCCCCTTGTCTGGAGCGGCCGCCAGACACGACTGCCCCCAGCATGACCCCAGCTGCCCTGTCCACACCTGGTACGCAGCTCGGTGCCTCGGGAAGCAGCAGACTGATGTGTGTCAGGGACAGGGGGAGCCAAGGGCATCTGGGCGAGGGTGCATCTCACCTGGAGATGACGACCCACATCGTGGAAGAGATTTTACCCGCAGTGGCTAACACTGACTGTCTCTCCCCCCAGGAAGGAGGTGCGGGAGCTGGGGCTGGTCGTCGTGGTGGACGCTCGTGAGGGTCCAGCTGCCCCTGCTCTCTTCCAGGCTCTGGCAGTGCTGCAGGTGAGTCTGGGTGACTCCTGTCCTCAGGGCACCGAGCATCTCGGGGCTCCCTCATGACCCAGGAGCAGCTGAGCGCAGCCGTGCCAGGACTCACCCCCAGTGTGACTCTTGGGCTGAGCTGAGGGTCCCGAGCATGGCCGTGGAAGGTAGCAGAGGAAGAGCTGGGACCTGCACCCGTCCACCGTGCCTCCCCTCCACAGCAGTCCTTATCTGGTGCCTGACGAAATCAGCATGCAGCGGTTCACGCTGCGCCTCCTCAAACAGGGATGGAGCTGTGGGTGCCATGGGGAGGAGGGCCTGTGCGTGGGGCAGGTATGGACCTGCCCACCTCTGGGGTGAGGTCCAGGGAGGGTGTGGCAGGTTTGCGTCACCCTGGGAAGACCTGACCTGGATCTGGAGACGTGAGTAAAACCAAGAGGGAAGTGGGAGTCCCTGGAACAGGGAGGAAGGCACCACCGGGGATGCTCCAGGGACCCAGGGCCAGGTGGGCGTCTGAGAGGGTTTTCGCTCCCTCAGACATGTGTACACAGGGGCCTTCACAGGCTAAGCGCTGTGCTGGAGTCCGAGGTCCCCCTTTCCCCTCAGTGAACGCCTGTTCCCTCTGTTGGGTCTCTGCTAAAGGTGTCGGCATCCGTCACGGCTCCATCCAGGTTCCTACGTGTAGGGACGCCACGTGGAAGTTCTTTTGAGGAAGGACTCCGTGGTGCAGGTCGAGGCCCATCAGGACGGAAGTGCGGTCAATACACCGGAGAGCGGCACGTGGGGAAAGGAGAGAAGAGCCCCGGCAGGCAGGCCGTGCACGGGCCAGGGGCTGGGGGGGGCAGGTGGAGGTGGGGGCGCGGCGGCGGGACGGGCTGGCAGGAGCAGGCATCCCGGTCAGGGCACCTGGCAGGGGGCAGCTCCTGTCGGACGCGGAGGCCAAGGGACGGACTCCGAGGAGGAGGGGGCCGACCCAGCGGTGCCGTCGCGGCCCTCGGAGCGGCCCTCCGAGGGGAAGTCCGCGTTTCAGAGGCAGAACCAGGCTCTCAGCAGGAGGAAAGCCCGAGTTAGCACCTCTAACACGGCATGACAGGTTTGACCTGCCGAAACTCAGTTTCCATGGAACACCTGGAAGGCGCATAAACCCCTTAGTGCTCCTCTCCTGCTCTCAACCGGCCGCTGGGCTCGGACATCGGTCATCCGGTTTGATGTTCATATTCTGCGTGGGCTTTGAACGCCCACTGAGATTCTGGTTTCTCTTAACCACATGCAGTTTCATAGAGCAGCAAAGACAGAAGTTACCGGAAGCCTTCTGGGAAAGTAGGGGAAGACGGCTTTTCAGACAGATTCTGAAGGACGCTCTGCTTCAAGGAGGAAGGGCTGCGTGGGCGATGGCCGGGCTCCTCAGAGTCCTGTGACTGCGGAGGAATGTCTTCCATCTGGAGCCTGGTCACAGCGTCCACGGGGGGACAGAGGAGAAGGGCTGTTAGGGTCTCAGACGCACGCTCTCGGGAGCAGATGTTTGATCCGGCCATCGCACACCGGTCGGCTTGGCACCCTCGAAATAGCAGCTTGTGGAAACACGGAGAAAAACAACTTGTTTCTGCTTTCGAAGCTGAACTAAATTGTTGCTGTTGCTGAAGTGGTTTTGAAGCTGCCACCAGACTTGTGACCAAATTCTGGAAACCATTCCACCTGCCTTACGTGTCCGCTGGGAGCAGCGTGTGGCCATCAGCCGGGCTCAAGCATCCGCAGCTCCAGACCCTCCGGGCCGCGCCCCACGGACCCTGCCTTCAGGAGCAGCCCCTCCTCGGCCTCCCCCGGCCTCCCCGATGCTCTGCTCTCCTCGCTCCCGCCTTCAGCCCCGGGGGCGGCCGGTGGTGGGCAGGCTCCCTGCACTCCCTCCTCCCCAGACCCTTTGCCAGCCCCGGATGGCACTCCTGCCAGTCACCGTGGCCACTGCGGCCATTGCCGCCCTGGACAAGTTTCAGATGCGGGGGGAAGCCGGGAATGCAGTGACTCGCTGCTGGGCCCAGGACGAGGTGCTCCTGGGTTAGCAGGTGGTGCTGGTGCCTCGGGCTCCGCGGGCTCCTCACTGGGCCCCTCCGGTCTGTGGTCTGCACTGCATGGGCGGGGTGCGGGGAGGCCATGGAGGCCGGGCTGGGGCTGCTCTCCCAGTGCGGGGCTCGAGGACCACGGGCAGACACCCAGGCAGACGCACGACAATGTCCCACGTGGGGCTGGTGTGGAGGGTCAGGGTCACCACCGCCACCCCCCGACGAGCGCTCCGTGTGGCTCTGGCCTCCTGCGAGGTCACGTGGGGGCCAGGAAGAAAGCCGAGCCTGCAGCTGCCTGTAGGCTCCTCACCGGGCCGTGCTATGTGTGTCGTGTGCGGGACCAAGAGCAAACAGGTCACAGACCCGGGGCACTGAGGCACGTCTGCAGCTTTGCAGGAATTCCCAGGAGCCAGAGGACTGGGGTGGCCTCGACTTCTTGGGCATCCCATAAAAACTTGAAAATTAAGTGTCCAGCCCCAAAGAGTGACACCTGAGCCCTCCCTGTTGACGCACACGCTTAGCAGCCACTCATGCCACTCATGCGAGACCCCGGCCCACCACACGCGTGGCCCCCAAGCCCTGCAGCTGCCCACGGAACCACCTACCTTTTTCCTGGGTGAGAACACCCAGCCCTTCTGTTTCTTCGGGCTCCCCTTAAGTCCTGTGCCACTCGGGTCCCACGCGGTGGAATGAGCCCTGAGTAGGACGGTCCCTCTCTGCCACACTTCTCCCAGAGCAGAAGCTGGAGAGGCGTCTGCTGCATCTTTAAGTTTCTGTTGCAAGTGGATCTTCGAAGGAACGCCGGGAAATCCACTCTTCTCCCTCCTCCGCGTGCGATGTTCAGACTGCCCTGAGGTCTGGGGGCCCCTCCTTCAGGTGGTGGCCTCCCACCACCCCGGCTTTGGCTCAGGCAATACAGGAGCTGTAACCCAAGCCAGGTGACTGGAAATAAGCCGAATTTAAGGGTCATGCTTCCATTTTCAGTTTTATTTCTGAGGAATATACAGAAGTAGTGAAATTTTTCTGTACAGGGCAAAAAATAGAGTCTCCTAACTGCCTCCAGTGACGATACCTCAAATTTATTAAATCATTAAAGTTCCAATACATAAGATTTCCATCTTGAAAAGGAAATGATGGTTTTTTTCATTTCATGGTGGAAGAAAATGCTAAGAATTACTTATCCCTACCCCACTCACAGCACATAACTTCTACACGCTGATACGGACACTCGTCCTAAGGCACAAACTGTGTTCTCACCTGTCTGAAAATTCACACCCGTCTTCTCCACGGTAGCAACAAGTCCTAACAGTAAAAATCACTCAAGTAGGGATGTATGAGAAATACGAAACACTTCACAAAACCATGTAGTCTTAATTCATAATAACTGAAGAGTTGACCTAAACTGAGTGAGAGAAATAGAAAATGACTCAAATAAAAAAGCAGGAATGTTTTTTTCTATGGTTTTCTATGGCTTTTACTCATTGACTGAATGTTTATGACTCATGAAATGAATGTTTATGGAATGTCATTCACATGAAGCCACATAACAAAAATGTAAATAGATTAGATTAATTTAATACAAATTAAGTACTGGTTATTTTGGAGGCCTATCCAGTCAAATAGGGGATCGATATTGGGGGTTACCAAAAGTCTAAAGTCTGTTTATCCCTACAAGAAACTTAAAAAGTAAAGCTTTAGAAAATACGAGTGAAGACGCAAGCACTATGAAAATAAAATAATTTTATTGTTGAGTGATCAGACCTCAGTGTAATCTAGCAAACAGGAGCCAAGGAGGTTTGTTTAAAGTTAAAAAACATGTCCAAACAAAACAGGGTTGGAACCCCAGTACGGAACACATGCCTCATTCCGTGCACAAAAATCACAAGTGGGTCCCAGACCCATGTGCACTACTAAGAACCACCAGAAGGAAACAGGAGAAGGTCTTCAGGACCTTCGTCTGGCCAAGATGCCTCAGCTGTGACAGCAGCACCGTGACCCATAAAGAAAACTATGATACGGTAGACTTCATCAAAATTTTGAAAACTTTTCTTCAAAAGACACTATCACTAAAATGAAAATATAAGCCAGGAGTTGGGAGACAACGTATGCAAAACACAGATCTGATAAAGAATTTGTGTCTGAAATATACAAAATCCCAGAACTCGGCAACAAGGTAAACAACCCAGTGAAATACGGCCAAGATTTGAACACGCTTGACCCAAGAAGATATACGAACGGCAGAGAAGCATGTAAACGTATGTTCAACACCAGTAATCACTGGAGAAACACAACTTGTAACCAAAATGAGGTAACACACCAAACCTGCCAGTAGCGAGGGCTCGGTATTGCTCGTGGAAACGCAAATGGCGCAACCACTCCAGTTTCTTCAGAAGTTAGAACACACTTGCCACGAGACCCCGCAATCCTACCGCTAGATGTTTACCCAGGAGAAATGAAAACTTACCTTCACATGCAGTTTATAGGGGCTTTGTCTACGGTTGCCACAGACTGGAGACAAGCCAGACGTCCTCTAGCTGGCGAGTGGTGGGGGAGCTGTAACACCTGCGGGCCGGGGACTTCTTCCGTAGAAAGGAACGAACCAGGAGCTCCCACGGCTCGGCCGAGTGGCAGGTGCTCTGTGCTAAGTGAAAGCAGCCAGTGCTGCGTGAGGCCGTGTGTGTGATATCTGAACAAGGCAAACTTATGGACGCGGGAAACAGATCAGTAACTGCCAGAGGCCAGGGGGCTTGCCGGAGGAGCTTTGGGAAATTGGGGGCTGCTAAACTGCTGTATATGTCTTGACTGTGATGGTGGTTCCATGACTATAAGTTCTGTCAAAATTTAGAGAACTCTATATTTGAGGGGGTGAATTTTATTATCTATAAATTATAACCAACAAACTTGATCACTAAAAATTTATAAGGTCAAATAATGTCCATTTAGAGCAAAGGCAGTTACATTTTATACCTTCTAGGTACTTGGGGAAAATATCAAAGCAGAAGTAGCAGCCATCAAGTTAGACAATTTCATGAAATCAGTTAAATATTACAAAGCTAATCAGTATTTCTTTCTTATTTCAGAGCACATCTCCTCCCATAATTCATAGTATTGTGCTGTTGGTGAATAAAGAATCGGGATTTAGGCCTGACAAGGATGGAACAATTCAGGTAGTGGCTTTAGACCCTCAGGATTAGATATGACTCTGGGTGATACATAAACTTAAGTGTTAGGACACGTAGATGAGATAAAACATACTAAAAACTTTATGTGAATTCGGGCTGCATCCGTATAAGTAAGAGCCTGAAAACCCATCACTGGTCCCTTCAGTTTCTGCAGGGCCCTAAAGAGTGTGATAACAGAAAACTTGTAAAAATCTGATTTTTCTTCTCCACCTCATTTGTTTTCTCTCCTCTTCTTGCTTCTTTCTCTTTTATCTAAAAACGATTTTGCCTTCATTCTTAAAGGTTTTTTTGCTGGATCCAGAATTCTGGCTTACAGAAGGCCTTCGTTTGTCTTCCCAGCCCTTTAAAGGTGTCTTCTGTTGTCTTCTGGTCTCCACAGTTTCTGATGAAAATTTTGTTGTAATTCACATAATTGTTCATCTGTAGAAAATGTGTCATTTTTCTTTGGTTACTTCCAAGATTTTCTCTTTCTTTTCACCAAATTGAAAGGAATGTGACTAGGCATGGTTTTCTTTATCTTTATCCTCTTAGGTTGGGCTGAACTTGAATGTTTAAATTTATGTCTATCACCAAATTCAGGAAGTTTTCATTTATTATTTCTTGAAATTTTTTATTCTGCCTCATTCTCTCCCCTTGTTGTAGGATTTTGATTACACACACTGATGTTGCCCCATAGGTCTTTTTTTGTTCTTCACTCTTTATTGCACTTTTACTTTTTGGAATTTCAAGAAGTGATAGTCTAGATGTTTTCTTTCTCTTTCTTTCTTTTCAAAAGCAACTTTACTGAGACATAGTTCATGTCCCATACAAATCATTTATCAAACCGTTGTCAATGATTTTTAATATATGCATGGAATTATGCAACTCTTCCCACAATCTAATTTTATCTATTTTTAGTTTTTCCCAGTGCTCATCCCAAGTGCCCTAACCATTCCCCATCCAGCCCACCGTCCACCCACCTTCCACCAGCGACCCTCAGTGTGTTCTCTGTTGCTAAGAGTCTCTTATGGTTTGGGTCCCTCTCTCTGTTTCTCCCACTTGCCCTATGTTCATCTTAAATTCCAGAAATGAGTGAAATCATGTGGTATTTGTCTTTCTCGGATTTAATGTGCTCCATCCACATGATTGCAGATGGCAGGCGGCCAGATCTCATGGCAAGGTCTCATGGTTTTTGGGTGTTGTACATAAGTGATGAATCACTAAATTCTCTTTCTGACGGCTACATAGGATTCCACTGCATGCAAGCAGCACACCTTCTTTTTGCGTTCCTCTGTTGATGGACACCTGGGCTCTTTCCACAGTTTGCTGTTGATAACACCACTACAAGCATCCAAGGTGTATGTATCCCTTTGAATTGGGGTTTTCGTGTCCCGTTGGGTAAATACCCAGTAGTGCAGCTGCTGGGTGGGAGGGCAGTTGTACTTTTAACCATCTGAGGAACCTCCGCAGAGTTCTCCAGAGTGGCTGCACTCCCACCCATGGTCCAAGAGGGCTGCCCTTTCTCCACATGCTCACCAGCACGCGTCGTCTCTGGTGGTGTCGGCCGCTCTGTCAGGTGCGATGGGACCGGCGGGTCGGAACTGATGTTGAGCATCTCTTGGCCGCTGGGATGTCTTCTTTGAAAAAATGTCTGTCTGTCACTTCTGCCCACTTTTCAATTGGATTTTTCTTGGAGGGAGGATGTTGAGTTTTAGAAGTTCTTTACATATTTTGGATACAAACCCTTTAATCAAAGATGTTATTTGCAAATATCTTCTACTCCATAGCTGCCTTTTAGTTTTGTTGGTTGTTTCCTTCCCTGTGCAGAAGGTTTTATTTTGGTGAAGACTTGATAATTTATATTAGGTTTTGTTTCCCTTGCCTCAGGAGACAGATCTAGAAACAGGTTGTGATGGCCGATGTCAGAGAAATTATCCCCCGTGCTCTCTTCTAGGATTTTTATGGTTTCAGGTCTCACATTTAGGTCTTTGTTTTTGAGGCTAGGTTTGTGTGTGGTGAAAGAAAGCAGTCCAGTTCATTCTTCTGCATGTGGCTGTCCAGTTTTCCCAACACTGTTTGTTGAAGAGACCGTCTTTTTTCCATTAACATTCTTTCCTGCTCTGAAGAAGATTAGTTGACCTTATAGTTGTGGGTCCATTTCTGGGTTTTCTATTCTGTTCCATTTAGCCCATGTTTCCATTTTTGTACCAGTACCATACTGTTTTGATTACTACAGCTTTGTGATATAACTTGAAGTCCAGAATTATGACACTTCCAGCTTCGTTTTTCTTTTTCGAAGTTGCTTTGGCTATTAGGGGTCTTCTGTGGTTCCATACGATTTTTTTTAATTTTTTTCTAATTTTTTATTTTTTTATTAACCTATAATGTATTATTAGCCCCAGGGGTACAGGTCTGTGAACCGTCAGGCTTACACACTTCACAGCACTCACCATAGCACATACCTTCCCCAATGTCCGTCACCCCACCACCCTCTCCCTACCCCCCTCCCCCCAGCAACCCTCAGTTTGTTTTGTGAGATTAAAAGTCTCTTATGGTTTGTCTCCCTCCCGATCCCATCTTGTTTCATTTATTCCTTTCCTACCCCCCAAGCCCCCCACATTGCCTCTCAACTTCCTCATATCATATTCCTCATATAATAATTGTCTTTCTCTGATGGACTTATTTCACTCAGCATAATACACTCTAGTTCCATCCATGTCATCGCAAATGGCAAGATTTCATTTTTCTTTTGATGGCTGCATAGTATTTAAGTGTATATATATACCACATCTTCTTTATCCATTCGTCTGTTGATGGACATCTAGGTTCTTTCCATAGTTTGGCTATTGTAGACATTGCTGCTATAAACATTCGGGTGCACATGCCCCTTCAGATCACTACATTTGTATCTTTAGGGTAAATACCCAGTAGTACGATTGCTGGGTCGTAGGGTAGCTCTATTTTCAACTTTTTGAGGAACCTCCATGCTGTTTTCCACAGTGGCTGCACCAGCTTGCATTCCCACCAACAGTGTAGGAGGTTCCCCTTTCTCTGCATCCTCGCCAGCATCTGTCATTTCCTGACTTGTTAATTTTAGCCATTCTGACTGGTGTGAGGTGGGATCTCATTGTGGTTTTGATTTGTATTTCCCTGATGCTGAGTGACGTGGAGCACTTTTTCATGTATCTGTTGGCCATCTGGATGTCTTCTTTGCAGAAATGTCTGTTCATGTCCTCTGCCCATTTCTGGATTGGATTATTTGTTCTTTGGGTGTTGAGTTTGCTAAGCTCTTTATAGATTTTGGATACTAGCCCTTTATCTGATATGTTGTTTGCAAGTATCATCTCCCATTCTGTCAGTTGTCTTTTGGTTTTGTTAACTGTTTCCTTTGCTGTGCAAAACCTTTTGATCTTGATGAAGTCCCAGTAGTTCACTTTTGCCCTTGCTTCCCTTGCCTTTGGCGATGTTTCTAGGAAGACGTTGCCGAGGCTGAGGTCAAAGAGGTTGCTGCCTGTGTTCTCCTCAAGGATTCCTTTCTCACATTGGTCTCCAGAGGTCCTTCAACCATTTTGAGTCTATTTTCATATGTGGTGTAAGGAAATGGTCCAGTTTCATTTTTCTGCATGTGGCTGTCCAATTTTCCCAACACCATTTGTTGAAGTGACTGTCTTTTTTCCATTGGACATTCTTTCCTGCTTTGTCAAAGATTAGTTGACCATAGAGTTGAGGGTCTATTTCTGGGCTTTCTATTCTGTTCCATTGATCTATGTGTCTGTGTGCCAGTACCATACCGTCTTGATGATGACAGCTTTGCAATAGAGCTTGAAGTCTGGAATTGTGATGCCACCAACTTTGGCTTTCTTTTTCAACATTCCTCTGGCTATTCGAGGTCTTTTCTGGTTCCATGTAAATTTTAGGATTATTTATTCCATTTCTTTGAAAAAAATGGATGGGATTTTGATAGGTATTGCATTAAACGTGTAGATTGCTTTAGGTAGCATAGACATTTTCACAATATTTGTTCTTCCAATCCATGAGCATGGAATGTTTTTCCATTTCTTTGTGTCTTCCTCAATTTCTTTCTTGAGTACTTTATAGTTTTCTGAGTACAGATTCTTTGCCTCTTTGGTTAGGTTTATTCCTAGGTTATCTTATGGTTTTGGGTGCAATTATAAGTAGGATTGACTCCTTAATTTCTCTTTCTTCTGTCTTGTTTTTGGTGGATAGAAATGCAACTGATTTCTGTGCATTGATTTTATATCCTGACACTTTACTGAATTCCTATACAAGTTCTAGCAGATTTGGAGTGGAGTCTTTTGGGTTTTCCACATAAAGTATCATATCATCTGCAAAGAGGAATAGTTTGACTTCTTCTTTGATGATTTGGATGCCTTTAATTTCTATTTGTTGTCTGATTGCTGAGGCTAGGACTTCTAGTACTATGTTGACTAGCAGTGGTGATAACGGACATCCCTGCCGTGTTCCTGACCTTAGGGGGAAGCTCTCAGTTTTTCTCCATTGAGAATGATATTCATGGTGGGTTTTTCATAGATGGCTTTGACGATATTGAGGTATGTATGTACCTCTATCCCTACACTTTGAAGAGTTTTGATCAAGAAAGGGTGCTGTAGGGGCGCCTGGGTGGTTCAGTGGGTTAAGCCGCTGCCTTCAGCTCAGGTCATGATCTCAGGGTCCTGGGATCGAGTCCCACATCAGGCTTTCTGCTCAGCGGGGAGCCTGCTTCCCTTCCTCTATCTCTGCCTGCCTCTCTGCCTACTTGTGATCTCTCTCTGGCAAATAAATAAATAAAATCTAAAAAAAAAAAGATTTTATAAAAAAAAAAAAAAGAAAGGGTGCTGTACTTTGTCAAATGGTTTTTCAGCATCTTTTGAGAGTATCATATGCTTCTTGTTCTTTCTTTTATTAATGTTTTGTGTCACATTGATTGATTTGCGGTTGTTGAACCAAACTTGCAGCCCTGGAATAAATCCCACTTGGTCGTGGTG